GTTTCGCCAAACACACCATAAAATGAAATGATAAAAATTTAATATTTGATCAGCAAATGAGCTTGAAGAAAAAACTCAGTTCATTGGTTTAATTACCAGTTCATTAATTAATTTTTTTTATAAACCAAAGTATTCATATTTTACATAAGTATTCAAGCGAGACCTCAATTTAGACAACGTGTTGAAATTATTATTATTTTTTCCATATCAGTACAAGAAACTGTAGTCCACAACTAGGCGCTATGCTACATAATTGTTTAACTCCTTTATGAAAATAAGTAATTTTTGTCAAAAGTGCAAAATATAAGAACATTGTAAGGAGGTTTTCTACTCTATAAAAAAAAATAATAGTTTTTTATTTTAAAAATTTAGATATTCGAAAACAACATTATTATTTACAGTTAACAACAGCTACTGTTTCCTYAATTTCACTGGGGATATTTTTGGCTACCCAGAGGATACTTGGTCTTAGACAGGACCTGCTTGAGCCATATCTAAAAGAATCGTTCCTGACCACTCCCAAGCGAATGGCGCTCAGAGAACTTTCCTCACTTCCGTCAACTTCTACACAAGACTCCATCCTCCAGAATAAGCCAACAATAAGATTTTTTTAAATTTAAATTATTTTTTGAGACCTTTTTTCGCTCTTCTTCAAGGACGCCTAATTAAATTTAAAAAAATAGATTTTTTTTGGTTTGGCCTCAAATCCGTCAGAACACTGGTAATAATTTCAGCTTACCATTTTCGCTCTAAAACTACTAAACAAACTCAAAAATATACCAAAATATAAGAACTGGTTTCATCATAAAAAATTCCGAAATATCATACAAAAGGCGTGAATGAAAGTCAACAAAGAGGAAATGTATCATAATAAACAAAAATTTAGAGCGCCCCTCTCGTTCATGATGGCACAAACAGTTGCGCTGTTGTCAATTCCCACAACACCTGAGGCAGAATTTAGCGGTGAATATTTATTTTTAAATTTGTTTTTTTATATATTTGTAACTGCTAAATTTGCTGAGATTTAAATTTGGGGTTTTCATGCATTTTTAAATTAAAATAAAAAATAAAAAAAAAATTGTAAAATACACGCCAATAAGCGTGTTGGCGTGTTGTACGTCAGTCACTTTTGGTAAAAGTCACACTAACCACAGCATTAAACTGTTGTGGTCGATGCGACCAGCAGGAGTTCCGGTTACACGCAACACATCTGTACTGAGTTGTGTAACTATGTATGTTTGTTTGCATTTAAATGCGTTTACTAAAATTTTTTTATAATGATATGACATGGATACGCATCTGGAGAAAATTTTTAAGCGAAAACAAAAAATTAAAAAAAAATCTAAAGAAAACTTAAAAAAATCTGAAATTTATTTAAAAAAACATTCTAAAAAATGTGAATAAAATTAAAAGAAAAATTTTTTTAAAAATTAAAAAAAAAATTCTGAAATCCAAATCTATTTTCAATCCCACGAAAAATAATATGAACGGACATATGTATATTTTTTATGCAGAAAAATTTCACAAAAAAAACTAAAAACAAATATTTTTACAAAAATTGAAAAAAAAATAGTAAAAAACCTACAATAAAAAAATTCTTTAAAAAAATGCTTTAAAAAATAAAAACAGTTCAAAAAATTTTGATTTATGTGTGCGTGAGTACGCCTGCATGTATACTTGATCGCCTCAATTTTAGTTAAATTTAATTAGACCATGTATTATGTATGAAACGCGCTGAACATTTATCACTATTCCCATTATGCTTATTATTTTGAGTTATTTGTCCACCGTTAGCTTTTATTAATGTTTTATTAAAATTTGTGGCAATAGCCGGTAAAATGCCTGCCGGACAATATTTTATGTGATGCATTTATGAAAACTATCAACGCTATATGTATTACACACATGCATACATATGTATAATATATAAAAGTGATTATACGCCTGCAATTGTAATTATTTTTATTTTATTTTCTTTAATTTTTGATTTCTCTTTTCTACTTTTTTAAAACCTCGAGCGCTCACGCTTGTTTGTATTGTCTACTTTATGCTTCTTCCGCTTTTTGTGACGCTTGACCACAGATCGCAGCGTTGACAGAACAATGCAAAGCCGCACACACTCACATACACAGACGCACATGCATACAGATGCAATGAAACGGCAGGAACAATTAAATTAAGTGCCATCATTTAAATGTTTTATTATGTGTGATGGTGACACCCACACGCCAACAAAGGCACACGCACGAGCACGAGTAATAATACACACCTACACATGCAAGCGCACGCTGCCACACTCTATTTGCGGGTTAATATGATTAAGTGCGGCACATGACGCGGACGAAAAAAACGCGCACACGACCAACGGATGACAGCTTCAGCGCGCAATTGTCCGATACACATACACAAACCGACACACACATATATGCGTACATACATGCGTGCATGTGGATGTGTGCGATTTTTGTTTTCGCATGTTTTTGCATTTTCATTTGTGACATGAAAAATTAGCAGGACATTGTGTGCGCGCGCTCGCTGGGGACTGCTGCCCGTTGTCATTACGACGCGGCAAATTGAACGGCGAAAACGATATAAACGTAACGACAGCAGCGGCAGCACTGGCAGCAGCAAGTCGTGCGACATTAAAAAGCGCCAATTAAAGGTGCGGGCGGCATGAAGACAACGACGCGTCGGTTGTTAATCACGTAAGGACGGTTAATTAAAAAGAAGTCAATTTTGTTTGTTTACAGATTGCCGTTTAATAAGTGCGGTGCTGGGTTCGAGTTCGGCTGGCGAGTTTAAAAGTGCATGTGTGTGTGTGGGTTTAAGTAGAAAAACTCAAAACTGAAGCACTTCCATGAAGGATGATTGGTGTATCGATTTTGGCAGAAATTGTTCAAGTGCAAGTTCTTAATATTTTTAAAGCAATAACATATTCGAAGATTAAAGCACACTTAAGCTTGGTTAGAATGAGTTGCATTTAATAAAAAATTAAACTGCATAACATTTACAATAATTAGGTTATGTTAGTCTGGTAAGCTAATAAGCACACGGACCAGTTTTGGTTCTTTGCGATACCAGATTTAACTAAGTTACGAAGTGCATGCGGTTTAGCTATTCTTTAGGATACCTACGTTTGATGATAACCTTACCAATAGTTAGCTTTCATAACAAGATTTGAAATATGTTATTATAAAAGTCGATATATAGTAAAAGTCAACTCTTTTTCTCTCTTTCCATGCTTTAGCTTCCAAACATAATTCAAAAGACTCTTTTCCAAATTACTGAACACATAAGAGGTTAGTCAGAAAAAAAAAGATTTGGCAGAAGGTGCAGATAAAGGTTCCCTGAATTTTTCATTTAATTTTTAAGGCAATTATGTTCCTCTTGCCGTGCATTAATGATCGAATCGCTTGTCAAAAGTGTACGGTATTATAGCTTTAATGCATCCTAAGATAACGTTTTTTTTTACAAACAATTCAGGGAGGAATTTTTAAATTATTAACGATTTCCAGATTACACTCGTTAAGCTAGAAAAAAAATATACAAATCAAAGGAACTTGTTTTCATAGATCCGCATCACCGTTCAAACTTCTTTATGTAAAATCACATTTTTAGAAAGCCTCCGATTTTCATAACTATTCACCTTTTTAGACTTCTACTTTTACAAATAAATAAAAAAAAATGTTGCCTACGTTTAGGCTTTCAGCTCACAAAGTATTAGGGACTCTGTAATATAGCAGATTGTGATTACGAAAACAAATTTTTGTAGACCTAACTTGCTTGGACACAGAAAATTATAGCAACCAAAAGAAATATTGATATAAATTGCTGAATTTTATTTTTACATAAAAAGCTTTATACGATTTTTCGTTGATAACATCCATAGAAGTGATAATCTCGTTTCATTCCGTGTTAAATATTCGATTATTTTATTTTAATTTTTTATACTATACACTTCTTTTAAATAGTATTTTTTATTCAATTCGGCATTTTAAAAATTGCCTATTTTGTCGAAAGTATATACCTTTTTTTAATAATTATACTTTCACTTGACACGCATATATTTCGTTCATAAAATTAGTTTTAATTTTTCAAAAACGGCAACGCTTTTTTAATTAAATTACAAATATTTGGTTTCTGCAAAACTAGATAGTGAATAAATTACAAAAAAAAATTTGAAATGTGTAGTATACAAAATTCAACAAAACAAAGCTATTTCTTGTTTATTATTATTTTTTTTCTAAAATTGGGTATAATACTTTTGTATACTACAAATTTAATAAAAAAAAAGTGCAAAAATTTAGTTTCTGCAAAACTAGACTATTTCTTACTCGCTATTTCGGCTTGTTCTTTTTTTTATTAAATTGGTAGTAAAAAATAAATATTTATTATACAGAATTCAACAAAAAAATATTGTTTTTTTTTATAATTTTACAGAGGAGATAAATTTCTTCATATGGCTTACTTTAAGAGCATTAAAAATAACTCGATCTTAATATTTTTTAAACCGAATAAAAAAATTCAACAAAAAAATTCTGATTTTTACCACTTTAATTATATAATATTTATGAAAATTTAAGAATTCACACATATCTCCCATAAAAGTCGTGAACTATTTTCAGTCCCTAGTATTCAACCACAAAAGTTCTATAACCTAAGCTGAAGTCTTAAACACAAGCTCCAAACATAGTTTATCAATAAATCACTTCTTCTTATTATTTCGCCCTTTTGCATTATCCAAAGCTTGCACTCCAAACACTGAGCACATAAGCACCAAATAAGTGTGCCTCCTTTCATATCCAATGCAATCAATCTATTAATTAAAGTGTTTTACGAACTCTCAGCTGTAATAAAGCACGACGGTAAATAGCACAACAGCAGAAAAGGAAAACGCAACAACAACATCAACGGCTACAGCTTCCGCAATCAACAAAAAGTGAATGCAAAAGTTTATCAAAAAAAAGAAAAACTAATACAAAAACAACAACGAAACTCACCAGTTCAGCAGCTTTTGTGTCGGTTGCAAGCATGTAGTGCTCATGAAATTTTCCTCGGAGACGCAGGTTAATATTTAAGTTGCAAAGTTCACCTGTTGTTTAGCGTTTACACTGTGTTCTCACTTTTGCACTAAATTCTTTTTTTTTTTTTTTTGTTTCTTTTATTTATTCTTGTTTTGCTGTACTGCTTTCGCACTTGTTTCAGAACTTCTGCAGCAATTTCTTTTGTCACTTCATTTGGGGATATAGCTGGCTACGTTTTGTCAGTGTCAGCAAATAAAAGTTGCAGTCGCTGGTGGCAAGCACTTGGAATCACAATTAGTTTACACTATTGTTGGGATGATCCTTTTTTGATTTTAAGTAAAATTTTGTTTTTTTTATACTTTTTGATCGTAAGTAAAATTTTGTGGTTTTTTTTACTTTTTTAAAATTTTATTTTTATTGTTTTTACTTCAAAATTTTATTTTTGTTTTTGTTGTTTTTACTTCAATATTGTATTTGTGTTTTTGTTGTTTTTGTTTCTAAATTTTATTTATTTATTTTTATTCTGCTGAAATTGCTTTCGCAAGTGTAAAACACTGCTTGTGGAAAGTCGTTTGCCGCAGCGTCAAATAGCTGTGAATTATTTGAATTGCAGTGTTGCCTACATTTAGGCGCTTTGGTGCTATTTCGCATAAATTACAGCACGTCAGCGTGCGTCAACCGTAAATAATTTAATTTACACGCTATGCACACAAATTACAACAACAAAAGAAACAAAAAAACGCATGCAAGCTAAACCGTGACTAAGTGTTAGTGCGTACTAGCGCTGACGGCGCGCCGTTTACTATGCTAAGCTTGCCGCCTGAAGCCGAGCGAGTATCCTTAAAAAGAGCTTGAATGAGTTGGCAAAAATGAAAAACGAATTGAATTATGGCGTAAATTGTAAAAATATGCGTGCCAAGTCAGCGCAGCGCCAACGTCAGCACCAACAAGGCAAGTAGTAATAATGCGAGAAGCAGCGAATATTTTGCACACAAAATAGCAGTGAAATAGAAACTCGGTTTATGCTTCTATTTTGTTGTTGTTTTTGATTTATTCTTCTCCTTTTTGTTATTGTTTTTGTTATTTTTTATCTTTAGTGTCTTTGTTTTCCTTTTTTTGGCTTTGGCGTTTTTATTTTTTTGTTTTCTTGCGTTTTTCTTCGGCCGTTATTAGTGTTGTTTTGGCTGTGTTAAATCAGCAACACAAATTTCGTTGGCTCATGAAAAATTCACTGCACTACGCACACACACACACACACACACATACACACGCATTTAGTAACACTTTCGCCTGGCGCACTAGCAGCCACTTGTATTTACTGTATATATGTATATATATCTAGTATAACGATGTATATCTTTATCTATGTGTGTTAGTAGGTCTGCGTTTTGTGCGCTAAATCAGAACTATCTGCTTAGTGGAACTGGAGCACTCATACGCCCTGTATTACACGCAGTACAAACATTAACATTCCGCTGTGTCTATGTGCGTGTGTCCGGATAATGTGTTAGAACGTTAATTTGATTGTACAATTGTTGCTATTACGTATGCATGTAAGTATGTAAGAAGTTGTGGGTTAATAAAACACGGCGCAACACGAAATCTCAACGAAAATACGCTTTTCTATTATGCACTTGTGCTCACTTTGGCTTGTATGTATGCATGTGTGTTCGACAGCACTTGGTAATGTGTGAAATTTTACTCGCCACTGCAGTTGCTAATAAGTGGGGAGGTTGAAAATGTGTTATTTACGGAAATAGAACGCGACACTTTTAATTGCAACGCTTGCACGACAATATTTAACACTTTTGTTTAAACGTTTTCCTCACACTTAACAATTAATAGTTTTAATTAATGGTAATTTATTGTATTTTTTTTAAATAATAGTAATTAAAGTAATCATTTCTGCTAAACTCACACACATCATCAAATCCACACTTGACTGCACTCACGCATTAGAATGCACACAAAACACGCCCGCACGCACGCATCGCAGCATATACACATGCATACATGCGTGTGACCGAGTACAAATTTAAATGCCGTACTTATTTAATGAAATTTTGCTCTAAAGCGCAATGGCAACAACGCGTACAAGCGACGTATTCGACACTAACAATCGCAACGTTCCGGCGTGAATGAGCCACGGCTGCTCAGCAACCAACAAATGCCTCGCAACTTCGTGCCCTACCGATGTGCTGAATACGCAAGCCGTGCAAAACGACGTGCGCTCGGCTCTACGTTCGAATATGTTCGACTCGTAGTGCTCGAAGTGAAATTATTCGCCGCACAACCAACACCAACACTACAAACATACATGTATATGGCACGCATGGAAGGAACTTGCACAACAACAATAACAACAAGAGATGTAGCATCAAAATACAACACGCAATTGTCGTCGTCGTCGTCGTCGTTGCCGTTACCGTAGCCTTTGCCTTGTTCGTCGTTGAGTATGACGATGAGTTTAAGAGCGACAAAACCGACAGGATGAAAACTGAGCACAGCAGCTTAGTTATAAATGCCAAAATGCCAACTGCAATCCTGAGGATAACACACGAAGAAAATGTTGTACGAGCCAACGAACATATTTGTTTTTGTTCTTTACGGTTTTTGCATTTACAGTTACTCAACACGCATTTGGTGTGAAGGCTCGACCAATTTCGACCGTTAACGAATAGCTGCAACTAACTGCATTTTCTGTGCCTGTACGTATGTATGTAAGTGTGTAGGCGAGTGGGTAATGTGCACGAGCGCCATGCAGGAGACACAGGCACCGCAAGCGAACCAAAATCGTTACCAACTTCACTTGCACTCTCCAACTCAAACAAACGCACAACAGCACGAGGCACTACAATGCATCGTATGTACGTATGTATGTATGTCGTGTGGTCTGCTCGTATAATGGCAGTGACCTGACACACTAGCGAGTGCGGTGCTGCTGACGTACAAGTGAGTGCTATTAACTGAGGGCGCAGCACCGACGAAATGTGTAGGGAAAATCTCAATCTCAATTTGCCAAAGTAGATAATCTCTCGTTATAAGCCACGACAATGGCATGTATGTGTGTATGTATGTTAGCATGCTTTGTGACGTGTGGGGTTGGGGTGGCCATAAGCCACCTGTTTCGACTCGCAGCACATTACAGTTAACACAATTTGTAATGGAAACTGCTAGTCATTACTGGAAATTAACAAAAAATATCCCGTACACCGCCATAGCAACACATTTATATATTCCTACCACTTACAGTCTCCCTATAAATTGCTACGCGTTATTTGTTGCACTATCGCGCTTTACCGCCACGTATGTACGCAAGTTTTTATGGTGCACTCGCTAACTAGTGGCAACCATTCGCTTTCAATCGACCGTCTACACTGATTTGTAGTTTCGATTTCGCATTGCGAAAAGCGCTCGTTGATGCAACAGTTTGAAAATGCCAACAAAGGCGATGAGGCGGGGAAACGAGAGTAATGGGAAAAAAGCGCGTTGCTCCTAAAACTCAACACAACGCTCCACACCGACACAAAGCGGAGAGCATGTGAGAGTGTGCTTAGTGTTGCCGAATGCTCACGATAGTACCCTTCAAAAGGACAAAGTGCTGCATACTTACAGGCGCGCATCTTGACTTCTTTTGTGTGGTGAGTTTTAGTAGCTCCATTAGCGGAGTTAACAGTTGTTGGGAGTGAAGCAAACATATTTGCATAGGTTGTTGAACAGACCTCCAATTGCTGAGGTACGCTAATGTTAGTAAAATTTTTGCGGCGTGGCGGTTGTAAGATAAAGGTCATGAAATCTTAATTTTTCAGCGCAGATGATTAATTAGTGGAGTTAGTATCTGCTTAATTACATTGATGACCTTATTTAGGCAACAATAAAGCCAACACAAATAAAGTAAGCTGTTTATTCAAATTCACCCTAAATGTAGGTCACACTTTATTTCATTTTTAACTAATAAAAACCCAAATGACATTTTTTGGCTGTTTTGTGCCTCTTGCGTCCCTCTCTTTGCGACTATCATGGTGTAGTGGCTGTTATATAGACAGGACGTTGTTCCAACCAATATCAAAAATTAATAGATCGGAACTTCGCAGTCAATTAGAAGTCTTATAAAAAACCTCAGCCGTTCAGAGTGTATTTCCAGTAAAGAGACGATTTCAAGACATCTTCAACAAATGAGAAAAGTGACAAGTTGTGGTAAATGTTCCATAGAATTATTAGCAGTCATCGAATACATCTTTCAATATCAATAATCGTCTGGAAAACGAAATATTAACTAAACTTTTTGATTGTTCTCTATTTTTCCATAAAAATATTTTCATAATCAACGCAAATTTAGGCTAGATTTTTTGATAAAATTCAGTTTTGTCTTTATGTCATAAGTAGTCACCGTAACCATAAATAATGCTTTATTTTGATAGCTAATTTGATAGTTGATTTCAGCAACAAGCGATAAGTAGTTTCTATCTAACATTTACCACTTTTATCGATATCTAAATTAAACTTATTTAAATTTTTATATATGTGGAATCCAGAACTCAAATTATTACAAAAAATATTTAAAAATTTATAAAAGTATTTCCTCTTTACACAATTTTCATTACTAATCAAAATTCCATACTAGAAATCAATTGCGTGATATTTGAGCAACTATTAAACTGACCTCTGTTTGCCCTGCATTTGCATTCTGTTTGAGTTTATCGCATTTAGCATTCATGAAAATGTTGGCGGTTTACATAAAACTCAATGGAAATATTTAACATGAGTGAAGAGGCAAATAATGTTAACAGAATGAACTGAAATTTCATCGTTATTCTCTCAGTTAGCAGCAATCAGCCAACAGTTGCTCAGGATAATATTAATATCATCAACATTTGCAGTTACAATAACAGCACTGTTTATTCCACAGTCACAGACAATGCTGAAATTTTTTTACGATATTAAGTGAATCGTAAAACGTATTTATCCTTTAGATAAATGAAAAGCTGAAATACAAGGAATTTTTCTCTTAAACTATACGTGTACTACTTTAAGTATTAAAACTTACAGTTAAAATTGATAAACTATGTAAGTATACTATATATTAAAAATATGTGATGTAATGTTAAGCTAAAAGTGCCATTTTTTGATATAAACTAGTAAACTTTATTATTGTGGTAAATAAATTAAATAAGCATACAAATAAAGGTAAAGTAATCAAACTGATAAATGGATGTTTGTTGGAAGAAACCAGAACTTACATTTATGTTTTTTCAAATGCATCGTCCAATAATTGACCACGTATATTGTAGCTTGGGTGACAAACGACTTATTTTAGTAAGAAAGAAGAATCATAGAAGAG